CCGGTTTCTCCATTCTTTTTGTATTATTTTTGATTAATGCCTTTTTCCTTTTAACCTGCTTACAGCTACAACGGATGCCTCAAAAACAAGTATCGCAAGATTTCACTTCAGATTTACATATACCGCGATTACTTGCAGGGTTACAAGTTAGTAGTCTTGCTTGCTTTATCAGAACGTGCTTCGTGGGCAATATGCTGTAAGGTTAATTTCATTTTTAAAAGCATGCATTTTTATAGCACCACGTTGAATCTCTTTTAAATATCAAGTTTTAACTTATTATCATTTGTCTTTCATCAGAAAGTAAAAGTTGTGTTTCCCACTTACAGGCCAAAATTCCAGCAGAGTATGTTTTAGAACTTTTAGTCTAAGGTTGGTATTGTTTTCTGACTTATTACGAACCTGTAATATTCGGCTTCCTGTGTTAGAAGAGCCAGTCGATCCGGATCCTTCGGCAAGCATGCTTCCCATAATTGGCTCGCTGATTTCAGTCGCAGGTAATTCAAAATAGTGCCAAAACTGGAATTATTTTCCCGCATTAAAGCAGTCATGGCCTTGAAGAAACCCAAACTTCAGCATTTTGTTTGCACATTTCTCTACTTATTATTTTTTGCTTGGCCTAAAAAGTGTTCTGAAATCACGAATTATTATACCTGACTGGATCGCGATCAATGAAATAAGCTCCGTTACTGTCCTTCTCCAATGGTGGCTGCATGGTTGCGAACCACTGAAAAATTCATCTACTATTTTTTTTAGTGTGTAAGCATGTGTGACCTCTCCACCGGATCAGGATTATTCACTTGAGTTCTTAAGGTTCGGACAAAAAGATCGAAGAGATGTTATCATATGAGTAGTAATTCAAATTTGAGAGCAGTGAAGCTGCTTCGAAAATGCTTCGCTGGAGCATGAATAAAAAAGTTTATTGTATACGCAAACGCAGCTTACTATGCTGCAAGAATTTAAGCTCAAGCCGTTGGTGATTAGTATAACAGCAGCGGAAAAGCGTGTTTGTGCTGAAAGGAGGCTGAAGTTAAACTAAGCGCACTTCACATTGATCTCGAGAAGTTCTTCGCCATGTCATGCATAAAGGCGTTTCACTCAATGGTGAATTTAGATGATGAAATGAAACGAGGAAAAAGTCAGTGCTCTTAAAAAAGTCATATTATAGACAAAAAGCCCCTCCGTATTCACTCTCTGTGAAAGGCTGAGACACTCAGAAGCAACTACCTTCTTCGCTTTTCTAATCTCAAGGCAGAGATGCCTGGATCTATTTGCAAAATGTAACCCAGGCTGGAACGCATCAGGTCAGCCGGTGCGACCACGCGTTTTTGCACGTGACCGTACTCTCTGCACAAGCGTGCGCGACATCTGAATTTGAAATTTTTAGCTCGCATATGCGCAGAGAATATTTCTGCAAAGTTTCAGCTTTGTACCTTGCCTGTTTCGTAAAATCTTTCCCCGCCAATGGAATTTGCATATTTTTTTCGGGGGTTCGTACGCAGGGTCTAGGCGCGTGTTGGGGAAGATCTTGAAACGGGGTAGGAACGTATATATCCAAAGTTTCAGCCTCCCAGCTTTCCTGGTTGCTAAGATGAAAGTGGGTGACAAAATGCGCTCGCTTCCGAACACGTACACACATAGTCTCTCGACAATAGGCTTTTTTGCTGGCTGTAGCTAGTTGTAGCTGCTATAGCGCTGCACAGCAAAAACGCATAATAAGTCTTGATTATTCAATAGCCCTTGACCCAAGCGCAAGTAAATTTAGTATCCAGCAAAATTTGACATTTAGAAACAGAGAAAGCAGTACGTACCTGAGCGAACAAAGAATTTTTTTCCTGGAGCAGTGTACTGGTGGTTGTGGAAAATTGCTGTCCACCGACATTAAAATGAAGAATGACCATTTGCTGACCAGGCAATTCACAGTTAACCGTTTAATGCTGCCACACTTTTACATAGTGAAAATTTTTGCGTGACTTTTCAAAAACATTCGTACACTCCTCGATAATTTAAGCAGCTCGATCAAATTTAGCGGGTAGTGGACTGGCACCTGGGAAAGTTTGGAAAGTCTGTCGAGACCTATGTTCACTTTACTCGTTAACTATAGTTCTTTCCTGGTTTCAGATGATTTTATAAATGAGGATATGCGGAGTAGGCAAGAGTTCATTTGGAACGAGTGACGAAAAGTTAATT